TTTTTTGTTGAAATCATTTCTGCAAACCAAAACCAAATATAGTGCTGAGTGTTCATATTATTTAACGTGTTCCTCTTTCCCATTGATGAAATTCTTTTTGCATGGCTATGTTGGGGTTATATCATATTTTTCCAGTTTGATTATGAGACTCCAATATAAGGCAATATAAAAATCTTTAAAAATCAGATTAATTCTTATCTATTATCTGCCTCATCTTTTCTCTACTAAGTCAGTTATCATGTCAAAGGAGCAAGTTTGTACTGAGAACTGGCATTTTGAGTTTATGATACTTTGTTTCCATCCATGGTTTGAGTGATGCATTTTATTTTGTGCTAGAATTTTTATGTTTCAATAAATAAGAGAAGCACTTAGCTTCCAAGGAACTGCAAAAAAATATACACAGGATTTTATATTACATGATAGTCATGAAAACAATTTGTTGTTTTTCTAATCAGAGTCATCAACGTAAACCACCAGCTGGGAGTGGAACTTATTAAATTTATTAGGAACAATTGTAAAAGTTGACATAACCCTGTAAATTATTCTTCCATTCCCTCTACTTCTGAGACACTTCTAACAGATTAGATCTTCTATACAGTTGGTTTATCATTTATTTATTACAGAATATGATGGTGTTTCTTAATAAAACTTCCCAACATTCATAAAGATATTTATGGAAGCTTCAGAAGACGAAATGAGCTTCTTTTCTAATTCAATCAAACAATGGTTACTGATAATGTTCAGAAAAATTATCTTGAATTGAAACTATTTAAGTCACAGAAACCAGGAAGGAAGGATAACCTAGTGTACACCAGCAATTGTTATTTCAGAATAAATAGATAGTGGAAGTTACATGAAATAATATTTCTTCTGTAAATTAAAGGCATGATTTTATTAGGCTTGCTTGCATTGTATAAAATATTTGGAGTTACCAAAAGTTATAATGCACATGCTTTAAAAAGAAAGAAATTAGATGATGATATATGAGTAATGCTACTTAAAAGTTTCTGAAGAAAGATGTTTTCTGATCGCTTCAAACCATGAACTCAAAATGCAACCTTGTTTGATTACTCTGAATTGCAAACCGCTTCATATTCCTTCAAAAGATCCCTTGAGTTGTTCTTGTAATTTAAAAATTTCATTCCTTGTTAAACAGTGTGAACCATAAGTCTGAATATTCTTTGACTGCACATATTTCTGCTAAATATTTGGCTCCTGTTAAAGCTTTGGTTCCTAAAGCTGTACAGCCCAAAAAGACAGACATAATAGTCAGGTAAAAAAGTCTGCCACATTAGTCAGTCAAAATACATATTTCCACTTTACTGAAGTCCAAAATGTTTTTTAGGTGGCCTCACTTTCCTATATGTCTTGAATGAAAATGCTTCCAATCCCCTTGAAAACTACTGTCACTATTCATGGGTTTTATAGTCAAACAGAAAATGTATTATGTCAACAACACACTTGGGTAATCTTCCTTGGGAATTCTGATACAAAGATTTTTACTCAAAATGGTGACTCACCAAAAAAAAATTTGGTTGCTGGCCATTACTTTCCCTGATTCAGGGCAGACAGTTTTGTTATTTCAACAAGTCAGAATAAGAATCCTAACAAATGCCCTAAATTCCACATGTTTTTCTTTCTAAGTCCTTAGAGATGAAATCATGTGACCACCACAAAGGGATCATGAAAGTCATGAATGATCATGAATCAATAGGAGTATATTGATGCATAATGAATTACCCTGGAGAATGCTTGGCTAAAATCTATTTGCTTGATATTGTTAGAAATGTTATCCACTTTGTCCTGTAAACAGTTTTGGGACGGAGAGGTGAGGATTCTTTAACAATAAATTATATGGACTTACATATCCTGTGTCAGGCCTCAGATATTAAGAAACCTCTTGCCTGTAATCTTAATAGGACAATAATTCAAAGACAACAGAGTTTACTTTCAGACCTTCTTGTCCCTAAATGATTTGTTTACAAGTCAAAGAGGAATGCACATGCCCTTAGTCTAGTCATGTTTCCTTGTATGTTTGTCCGCAAACCTTAAAAAATTTGTCTATCTGGATGTTCCGTAAAAGATGGGATTTTTGATAATTGGCATTAATATAAGCAAACTTAGCAGAAAAGAAAATAACAAAATGCACAATTGGGTTAATCAGGTCTTGTGCGGTATCTCTCCAAGACAGGTTGCAAGGGCTATAATGCTAAACGGGAAATTTCTAGGGTCTTTATTTTAAACTGTCACAGAGTGTGACAGTACTGTAGCATATCAATGGGTATAAATTGATTGCCTATGCCTGTTCAGTTTACAATGATTGATTTTAATTGAGGAATTCACATAGTGTAAACATTCTTTTTCCTCCTGTAAAACTTATCTATTATATGTAGATAAGAAAGTCAGACCTTTCAGAAAATCTTAGCTTAGAATCAAAGGGAAACACAAACTCGGTCTGCCATGTCCCAGACATGCTACCAATGAGCTTTCCTCCTTCCTATCCAAACTGATATATTGCCTTGACATATTGACAAACTGAAATTTTCTGATGGGAAAACCATTCCAGGAAAGATAGAAAAAATCTCAATTTCTTCTGCTTCACTCCCATTCCTGTACAATTAAAACATGATTCCCTTTGTTTACTGTCAAACCTAGTATTTCTTGCACACTCAATACATTTTTGCAAAAAAGACAGTTTCTGTTTTAAGATTTTTTTCCTGGAGGTGTATGAGATCCATTCTCAAAACTTATCAGGATTACTATTTATGCAATATCATATTTAATTATGCAAGAATTCCTCAGAACTCTGGAGAATTCATTGCATGTTAGGTTGATACTCTCAGGCTCATGCTGTGACTCATGGGAATGATCCTGCGCAGGGCTAAGGGTTGGACTTGAAGATTGTTGTGGTTCCTTTCCAATTCAGCATATTCTGTGAATCTGTAAAAGAACTATTATACGTATTGATAAATGTCACCAGCAAAGATGATATGGGATGTTATCTTATAATGTGTTGCAGTTTTAAAACCTTGATATTAATTTGCCATACACTGCATTACCAAATAAAAGACCAACAGATAATTGTATTTCTTTACTATGAGGAACACTTGAACTAATTAAAAGTAATGCAGCAAATTATCTAAAACCATTTAGTCAAATACACTAGAGAGGTCAAACCTAGGGCAGCACTCATTAAATCAAATTGAATTCCATCTTGAGAATGGATTTCAAATAGATTCTTAATTGCAGTATTTTGTCCACAGGGTATTCTATCACAGACTTTTTGTTTGCCAGTAAAATCCTCCAGAACGTCCTCCATCAGGATAGTGCCAGGTCTCTCTTCATTATAAAATTTTTGTATTATGAAGTATGTAAGTATGTTCTGAGGCTTTCATTCTTTGCTCCTCTTGCTTATAGTTAATATCTCCAGCCAAACACTGAGTGCTCCCCACCTCTGGTTCATTCCATTAAGCACAAAAACAGAAAACAAAACAATAACACTTGTGCACAGAGCCTGCAGCAGAAGGGTGAAACCCACACTTGAAGGGCCTTGTCACTTTATTGCTTTCTGGCAGAACTGCCTAAACACAGAGAATGCCAAGCTCAGCATTTTCTTGGGACTGCCCTGGATAAGCATCCCCCTGACCACAAGGATATGCAGCTTTGGGTTTCTACTGTACTTCTAGGTATATGCAGAACCATCAGTGTTTCCCTCTTCTATTCTACTAGTTCCGTGTGGATCTGAACCCCAGAAAGAAAAAGAAAGGTGAGCTATAGTCATTAGGACAACAGAGAAGTTACTGTGTTTTCAATATATTTTGGCTTTTAGACAACAGCAATAACTAAGCTGGTCTATTGGTTTGTGAGGTTTTTGGACACGACCTTTGCTGATTGCCAATGTACTTGGTTTTTCTACATATTTTCAGGAAAGTTTTCTTTCTTAAAACATTTATTATTTATAGTACCTTTCCTTACAATTAGTCCTATCTACAATTCTATTTTAGATATTTTGTTGTGGGTCTGAGTTTGTTTCAGATTCATAAATTAAATGTTCTGTTCTAGATATGATATAGTTTTCTTAAAGGCTACAAAGAGACGTTAATGACCTGAGGGGGGTTATTTGCTCTTCCTCCTAACAGAGCACTCTCAGTGGAAATTATCACAACAGAACACTTTTGCACGTCATGTAACCACTCAAAATTACTGAACTTTAAATATGCTCTAAATATGTCTATGAAGGATCCTAAAATCACATACTAATGGTCCCATAAAGCAGCTGATATTAGTAAATTCATCACAGCCAGAACAAAATAAAAAATTAAGGGCAGCCAGTTGTAGGTACTACAGCAGAAATGCTGTCTGATAACATAGATGAGGACTCTTCCATCTATCTTGGTTGGGTGGAAAGTAGTAACAGAAGAAGTTCCTGCCAATGTGCAGGTGGTGCATCTCCTCACAGCAACAACAGCAACAGCAGGGAGTTGGGGAACATTTTTATCAACTGGTTTTAGAACTGGGCATGACTTTGGATCTACCAAACCAGTGACATCCAGGTCCAGCAGAGTGCTGATTCAGGCCAATGTGCCATAATCATAAAGTGACCATATCATATGAGTATAGGATGCTGGAAAGCAAAATTAAAAAAAAAGTGTTTAAATTTAAAGTAACATTTTACATGAAAAATGCAATAAAAAGGACAAAGTATTTCTTGTTCACTCTAGCCATTCCATGTAAATATCTACACAAGTCATTTGAACCTGTGAAATTTAAAGGGCCTAAATGTGCTACCTTGTAAATATTTATTTTCTAAGTCAAAATTCAGTTAGATTAATGGGTTTTTTTCTGAGTTAGACTCCTAGTTTAATGGATCAGGCCCTTCTATTGCTGCTAAATTGTGTCATCAAGTAAACTTGATACTGAGAGTGGCTGTTTTAGATTTATTGTTTAATTTTTCTGAAGTACAAAAAATATATATTTAAAACTTGTTATTTACTTGACAGACTTGAATCAAAGGAGCCTTTCCTGTCCGTTGGGTAAGTAGAAATCTGTATATTTTCACGGATATTGATATAATCAATTACCATACATTATAATTTATGAGATTATGTTGAGCATAAGCATCCTGTTTCAAAATTATGACTGTTTACTATACCTAAGCTTAGAACAAGTTAGTTTTAGTCAATAAAGTCAGCAGTCATGGAAACTTTCTTTCTCAAAAAAAGAAGTATGTTTTGCCTTTATTAACTATGCAAAAGTTATGCTAAAATACATGTAGAAGTTAAATATTGTATTAAAAGGTAGCTGATTTATTAATTTATTTTCACTGGTCTTTCAGTCAGAAACCCTTCCAAATATCATCTATATCACCTGTCAAAGCACATGAAGAAATAATTGATAGTTTCTTTTAGAATAAAAAAAATTGTGATACTTCAGTAACAGAAATAGTCGAATTTATGAAATAGAAAAAATCACATTTTTAGCTGAATTATAGATCACTGCACTGATTTGCATATTACAGCTATTGTCTCACTAGTGTCATAACCACTTAAACAGTTATATGTTCTCTATATTAAAATAATTCATCATTCTAAAAAATTATTTTTAAATGCGACATATTGTAAAAAAATACCATTCTTTTATAAAATGATGCCTTAAGATCCATCTGTTTTATTTGATTTTTCTTAATTTTTATAAGCTTTATAAGTAGTTATATAGCAGAAGTAGACTTAGAAGCAGCAGCTCTCATTCCCTTACCCTTAGCACAGAAGCAACATAGATTTTCAACCCTATTACCCTTTTCCATGCTCCCCATATCAATTCTACCCCCTGAATTCCAGTAGAAACCTTTAGTTTCTCTTTAAGGTAGGTCTGTTCTGTTTGGAGAATGCTTGTACCTTGACCTAAACTGCAAAAGTACAGTCAAGAACTGGGTGAATATACGCCTCCTGTACCCCAAGGAAGATGAAGATTGATGAAGAGGTGGTCTTAGAGACCCCAGTACCAATTCCTAAGGGGCGTGACTGAGGGTGGTCCAGGGCAAAAGCCACAGGGTGGGAAAACCTCGGATTGCACAAGCAGTATTATAAATTGTAACATCTGAGACACGGGGGTGCACGCGTTTTGTAATCTTATGCCTAGGCATAAATTAAAACCCTTTCCTTATCTCACCTTCAAAACTAATTTGCCTGGGAGGCTTTTTTCTCCCTGAATTTTCTTTTAGGCATCAAAATGTAGACAATATATGTATTAAAGGTAATGATCTGTATATTATTTCTTAGTCTGAAGTTCACTTTTCATGCAGTGTTTTACTTTCAGTTTCTTCCTTGAAACTTTCCTAAGTGTCCTAACATTCTCCCTCCATGTTTTCCTTCCTTTGTTCACACCATATTTAATGCTATCAAGAACATAAACTTCAGACAAAAGATTCAATGCAAAATATCCATTTCAAGTTTAGTTCTACCATTTAATTATCAGTGGCTTCCAAATAATTGTACTAACCGCAGATCTAAAAGCCAATTTCAAATTCTGAAGTGTGAACTAAAGTTAACAAGCAAGGAAGTGTGTAAATTATGATCAAAAGAACTCAACAAATCAGCATGAACAGGATTGAGATATGTCTCAGTTTCTCTAGCATAAAGTAACTCTTGTTTGTTTGAGAACATTTTGAATTAATTGCTTGGTGTTTCTACTTTCTACCAACTCAAAATTATTGAAAAACCATTTAAATGCTGGAGAAATTGGAGGCAGAGGGGAGGGTGTACTGGTCTTGGTTTGCGTGCTTTGAAATGTCCAAATTCATTATCAAATTCAGTCTCTTTTATTATTAACTTTCATTATTCTACTTTGTAACTTGTTCTATTGAGTTGTATTTTTAAGACCTCCACTATCATAATGAAGTGATTACCTGAAAATCTCAACTTTAAGATCAAAAAAGAAGTTACATGTCATTGCGGCTGAGGAGCAAAGTTGAAAATATAAAAATCCAGGAAGCAAATAAAGAAGAAAATGGTAGCAATTATTTTAATAATAATTGCTACAAAATAATAAATTCTATATTTTTAGTACTTACCATGATCTCAAGAAATGTGCTGGCAATTTTAGCATATCTGGGGATGTCTACCTTGGAGGAAATATCATTTTTGTGTTTTGCTTTTTAGTTTCTTTCCATATGAGCAGGTTGGTGGTCACCATATAAATCCACATTACCTCCATATAGTCATTGTCTGTGACTTTATTGCTAAAGTTGATTCCTCTTAGGAAGTTTAATCTGAGCAAACAGACTTAGTCTCTTTCCAGAACTTTTCAGAAGTTTTACTGTAGTATACTTGAATTATTTTACGCAAGTTCATAACGATAAGGGTAGAAAAAACCCCAAAATTAGTCCCTGCCCCTGTGCTACTTTTGCCTTTTACTACTGTATTTCCTCCACCCCAAAAGAGGGCATCAGACAGAGGTTACACTACCATGTTCTGAGGAGGGGCCCACCTCCTCATTAAAGTCAAAGAGATACTCCTCCTAGTCCCACAATAACTGGGGGGTTCTTTTTTACAGAGGATGAGCTTTTGTGCCAGGACCTGTATCTGAGGTTTTAATCCAGACAGCTGCAACCACCAGGCTTTTAAAATACAGTAAATGTTTGCAGAAGAAATGCTGACTTAGCCTCAATTAGCCTAACACATGGGTGCCCTTACTGCCACTTGCAGCCAGAGTTGGTCAAAACACCAATCTAAATTACTTTAGGCTGCCTACAGATGGCTTGGTCCTGCACACCAGTCTCTCAATCTACCTTCTGCAACACAGATTTGTTTCCACATTTTCATTATACTGCCTGTAGGAGCTAATTAAGCCTTTTCATTTTGCTGTGCCTAAGCACACGACTTAGTGGTGCTTTTCCATTGTTAATTCTTTTGGCAGGGAAGGGAACATGAAGTGTGGCAATCTAAGAGCTCAGGACTGACACAGGACTGACTGAGCTTTGTGTCTATGTGCAGGGCTGCAGTCTTCCCATGAGAGATCCCACAAGGAAAATAGGTTGATAAAATATTGCATTGTTTCCCCTCTCTCAGAAAGGAGCCAGAGAGAAGCAGACCACACCTCTTACTGTTCTAGTTTGTGTATGGAATGCAGGGAGAGAACAGCTACTGTACTCCCTTGGTAAAGGTAATTCCATTTATCCTTCTTTCTATGCAAAATGCATAGCAAAGAAGAAAAATCCACTCTCCTTTACTCCCTGTGCAAGACAGGGGCATAATTTGGCAATGAAGTGAGAGTAAACTCCTTAATTAAAACCTCTAATGGTATCATTCAGGAGCAAAAATTCATCAAGTATACAATCTATTCAGATAAGAGTATCTGAATTCAATATTATGATTTTGGCTAGAATGCAAAGTTGAATTTGAGATTGACATTGAGATTGTCTTTCTTTGCCTCTTAGAGGTGAATATAAAATCCTTAGGGAAGAATGAAACATCTCCTAGTGCTGAATGCTGAGTCATGGCCTGTAGGGGCACAGGATGCTCCTCTCCACAGGTGTTATTTCCACACTTTTTGGGGTTTGTGTTCATATTCAACCGGAGCAAGACTGAGAGTTTTCTGGACTTTCTATTCTCTTCATGTTATATAGCATTCATGATCATGTTGGGTTAGTATAAAAAAGAAGTCATGCAAATAGTCAGAGTGCCTGGAAGACTTTAAAGAGGCAGCAGTTTTGGTAAAACTTCACCAAAGTGAAGAATACTGACAATGCATTAAATCAGCTTCATGGAGAAAAGTTTGAAAGATTCTGATGTAGAAAGACCAGAGAAGTCGAAAGGTACAAAAAAATGGATACTGTAAAAAGAACAAGTGCCAGATCATATTTGTTGTGGCAAAGGATGTATAAAATTTAAAAAAAGTATATTTAAAATGCCAACAGTTTTTAATTATTCACATTAGTTCTCCATATTTAGCCATTTCATAATAATAATGGTGCATAATTACCCCTCAACAAAACAGTTAGCATTCCCTCTCTAGATAATTAGACTGGTTATCCAGTTATTAACCATTCACCAGCAATTTTATGGCATTTGATTTATGATAGTTATCTGCATGTAAAAGTTTTTCACTTGATGAAAGTTATCTGCATGTAAAAGTTTTTCACTTGATGAATTTCAGCTAATACTGCATGCAGATTTGTAACCCCTCATTAGTCTAAGCCCTAAAATTAAAAGTTCATTTTTTAAGATACAGCCAATGCAGCATCTTTTAAGGCCTGTAATAGTATTATATGGCCAAGAGAGACCATAGTTAATATGTAACTGTCTTGCATAGTAGAAATTCTTTTAATTAATTCTTGTTGGTATCTAATTGTAATTGTATGTAACTTCCATAACAACATTCAATCAACACAGCTTCAACACACGCAATGGTAGAAAATCTACCACAGCATCTAGTGAGTTTGTCAAACTTTTCAAAATATCTGTCTTCTTTTTTAGATGCCATTTAATAATATGCCCCATATTGTTGAATTCAGAAGAGACAGGAAGAGAGAGAAAGAAACAGTTGATTTTTTCTGAGGCTAGTGAGAACTTAGATTCATCTGTTGTCTGCTGCAGAGAATAGGATTACTTCTGCGTAAGCAGGCAATAGCTCTTAGGTGAGATGGTCTTTGAAAATGCATGTGTTATATACATCTGGTTGTCAGCTGAGATTCAATGTATTCTCTGACTTTTTCACTTTTTTTTTATTGTTTGCTTGCTCTAAACAGTATAAATTTAGGTGGAAAGCCCAGAGAGAGACATAAGTGAAATTAATGCATTGTATGCATTTATTTCATGATGAATAGTTGCCTGTCATAGGAGAAAGAAAAGAGATACAAGTAAAATTGGCATTAATTAATACAATTTTTTACATTCCCAGTGAAAAGACTAGAGATCTGTAGGAACTACTGCTTTCCTCACCAAGGTCTGGTTTCTAGAAAGTATATGATAATAGAAAATACTGAAAAGCCATGTTTTTTCCAAATCACATCCTAATCATATTACCTTTCAAACAT